ATGTTATTACATTATGTGGTAGTAGGTTGTTCATGCTCTGAAAAAAATTATGTTGCAAATTACAGACACTCCGGTTGAAAACATAGGTTAAGAACTTCAACATACTATAAAATAAACGGGACATTAGCTATATTGAATAATTTCTGTAAAGAATGTTTTCATTCAGCAGGAATTTATATTACTGAAAATGGGTCGGATCTTTATGTGGGGTCTATATGGATAATTTTTGGCAAAAATTTGTTTTACCCTATAATATCCCGGACAGTCAATTTACATCAACAACAATGAGAAAATTCCGCTAAAACCTTAAACAATAGGCGATACCTAATATGGGGCAAGGTCAAAACATGGACCTGTATTGATAATTTTTTTATGTATGTCAGCCTTCAAGAACCCTTTATTCCAAATTAAAACCACAACGATGGGAAAAAGGCGGCCAAAGCCTTCAAAATGCCGAAAATTGGTCGATACCATTTTAAATAGAGCAATACCAAAAAATAAACCAATATTGATAATTTTTGGTAGGAAGATTTCACATCCTATGAGAAACTGAAAAATGAAATTAGATTCAATTCAGTTGAAAAACGTGCCCAAAACTCCCAAAATACTGAATAACAAGATGTACCATCATATGGGTGCTACTAGGAAACTTAAGCCAATATTGATGATTTTTGGCAGGGAGATTCTATATTCAACGATCATCCAAAATATAAACAACTAATTTAGTTGAAACACATTCCCAAAATACTTATTATATCGAAATTTGGGATGTAGCGTTATATGGAGGCTAACCTAAAAAGTGGACCAATATTGATAATTTTTAGTAGTAAGATTTTCTACCCAGTGAGAACCCAAAATTGTGATATGATTAGGTTGAAAAATTAGAACCAATTCTGTTGAAAAACGTGCCCAAAATTTAACAAGTGGAGATTTTTTCAGTGGAGTTTTTTCCTTAAATCATAAAACCCCAAAAGTGGGCTGATATTGACGACGCATGGTAGGGTGAAACATGTGTATAAAATCCTCAAAATAGTGTAATTTACAGGGCAAAGTTATATGTGAGGGGATCAATATTGATTACATCGTGTTGGAATTACCGAACATTTGGAGTTTACATTTTATGTGGCCCTATGCCTAATTGAGGCCCTATGCAGCTCAATTTCGAACCTAACATTTTCGTTCACATAAATATTAAATCAGTAGGTATTCTTATATAGGGCCTAGGCCTAAATGCCGGCCGATATATTTCATTTCCGAACCTGACGTTCTTGGTTTTTTACATCCATACATCGTCTTAGAATTCCACACTATATAGGGTATAAACTGACAATTTAGATTATAGAATATCCCCCAATACCACCATAACGCGGAACAAATTAGTTAACTAAATGGGGTTATGTAGGGACTACTCTCAAAAGGGGACGAATATAAATAATTTTTGGGAAAATACTGGGCGCCCAAAATACCGTAAGGGGGGGGGGGTGGGGGAAGTGTTCCGATATATGGGGTACCAGATAAGTGTACCGTTATTGATCATTTCAAGTGGAGAGATTTGGACCCCAATAAGAACCTGATGTACTAAATTTCAGAGAATTCAAACCCAAAATAACGTAAATTGGGGCGTAACGTTATATGGGGCTACCAGAATATGTGGGCGATGTTTATAATTCTTATTGGATATATTTGTTATCCAATAATAACCCATTGTACAAAACTTCAGTGAATTCGGTTGAAAGGCGAGCTCAAGAACCACAAAATACCGTAAATGGGGGGGGGGGGGTTTATCCTTATATAAGAGCTAAGTCTATGCGTGGACCGATATATCCCATCTTCGAACTTTATCTGCCTGCACAAAAAAGACGACTCTGTGCAATATTGGCGATCTATCTCAATTCGTTTGAAGCTTAGAGTGATTACAACAGGAGACGTGCAAGCTTAGATTGTCATAGAATTTTTTCGCTGATCAAGAATATATATACTTTATAGGGTCGGAAATTATTATTTTGCTGAGTTACAAACGCAAAAACAAACATATAGTGTGCCGATTTATTCCATTTTCAATACGTATGCATTTAAAATCAATTGTTGGCATTCATTTAATTTTATTTTTTAATACATAAACATAAGTTGTTATATATCTTAAAAAATTGTCTACATTTTCTTAAAGTCCATTAGACCTTCCAGTAATCGTGATTCATAAGATAATTTCTGTGGAAATAAAATAAATATACAAATTATTTCATGTTATATGTATGGAAATATATTTATCATGCCTTGTATCTATTAACGACTGTAGAAGCTGATCCTTATGATCGCTCATTTTTCGTGCTGGGCCGCCATATTCCTCGGTCAACATTTCCTTGGGTACATAATTGTACAGCAATTCCAAATTTTCATTATGGAAATGTAGCTAAGTAATAAAAAATGTGTTTATTTTTTAATTTTTATAATTTTCATTTCCTCTCACTCATTTCATTTTTCATTTCATAATCTCAGATTTTTCTTACCAACTCCAAAATCTGCTTACTCAAAAACGGCCGTACAAATGAAATAATTTTATTCATATACGGCGGACAATTGATCAGGTGAATACTCTTTATTCGCACCGGATAGCCACGTTGCAAATAGTTTATGGAAACGCGTAAGGCTCTGATCGAAACGCGTGTCATATGTTTCATTGTAAAATTTTGCATATCAATAATAATTATTTCGCCCAGGGCCAAAAGGCTATTGCCTGTCGTTGGGTCCTTGCCGTCAGGCAAAGCAAAACGATAGTCGGATACCATGAAATATGTTTTTATATCTCTCAGGTGATCCATCTGTAAATGAGAATATCACAATAGGTATATTAGATAACAAAATGTTTACATTTTTAAAAATATTTACCATATTTGGATCTGGATTACTTATGCGCAAAACAGATGCCCGATATTTGTCGGGTGTTAATCCTGGCAGAAATACCATATCTCTGGAAAATTTGTAAAAATGATTTAGTAGAATCCACACATATTTTATACATAATAAATACTTACGCATAGGCGCCAGAAGCTAGAGTATCTTTATCTGTGGGATCGCGACGTATAAAAACATCTTCTGCATTTTTCCTTAGGCCATAGTTGACTTCAATTAAATTCTTCGTTTCCTTAATATCCTTGTACATGCAGTAGTAGAATCGTGTCAAAAGTATGCGATCTGAAAAATATGTATACAAATATCAGTAGCAAAAATATGACGATGTTATTCAGGTCAGATTACAATATCGTGTAAATTACGGCCTGGAGAAAACGAAGTACCAAAATAGAGATAATCAGGCTAAAGAATCTGAATCTGAAGAATTACTAAATAGGAGATATACCCCGAAACATGGACCAATATTTAAAATTGATGGTAGGGAGATTTTCTACTTAAAGAGAATCCAAAATATAAAATCCTCAAAATACCAAACATTAGGGATTTGTCAAAACATGGGCCAATAGTTTTCTGAGCATAACAGTCTACAAAATTCCGAAATACCAAATTAGAACTTTTTCCGTTCGAAAATTCGACTATATGCCTCGAAATTCTGAAAATTCACCTAGCTACCATATAAAGGGGAGATGATCAAAACACGAGCTGCGCAGACGTATGACAGCCTTCGAAACTCCGAAATGCCAAATAAGAACTTTTTCGGTTGGAAAATGCGGGTACTAGCCTCAAATAAAACCTAAATCATCTAAAAACCTAAAATCTACATAATACCGAAAATTTGGCGGTACCGTTAGATGGTAGGGAGTTTATCAATTTCCTACAGGGCGCGTCCACAGGTGGCAGATAGGGGGAAGTTGGATGATTTGATAGCCTGATCGCTTTTTTTAGGCCTTGTCCCCGCGGACCAACACTGACTATGCGGGTGTTTACCTAAAACAAAAAATAAATATGGAAAGTACGATGAAAAATAAAGTTACGGTTCCAAGCCTTAATAACTCAGTACCGGCGGCTGCCATTAATCGGCCAACGTTTCACGCTCCTTCGATGTCCTATGATTGTGGGAAAAAATATCCTACAGATAAGGGTTTCTTGGCATCTGTAGACCCTGGACTACAGATCGCTAACACGTAGAAATTAATCTGAGTTTTAGGACCATAGGGGAAGTGCAATCTCGATCCAACCTTCTGAAACAGGAAGAGTCTCAAACTCAAATTCTGAGTCCGAACATGAGGATATAACAAACCGTTCTAGAATACCGAAAGAGCAAAGAGTTTGATAAGATGATTGAGGAAGTGCGCAAGGATATCGTGAATCTCTCTGAAACACAAAGGCGAAAAATGACCACAATGAAGTGAAGGAATAAAATTGAACAGATGCTCAGAAGGATAAGTCTGACTTTTCCTTCACTTTCTCGGAAGAAGAGACCTAACCCTCATCGTGTTAGGTCTCCGGAGAAGCAGCGAACGAAACCCGCAAAAAAGAAAACAACCTACCCGATATCGCGAGAATCCATAGGAATTCCAAAAGGACTAACCGAACTAAAAAAAGAGGAAGAGAGCAGCAACAGTTGGTAAGGTTCGGCCATCTTATGAAAAGGTTGCCAGGTGACGCGAACGAACCGAGCTTTGCAATTCAGTGATCGACGACAATAATGTGTATGGAAAACTAAAAAAGGTGACCCGAGGTGAATACCTGAGAAAACTAGTAGCATATATTTTCACAATAAATGAGACTATCAAACTTAAGCTACTGAGTAGACGGAACATTCTTCAATTACGAAAGGCAAAGGCATTCGTCAGAGGTTGGGGCATTGAATTCACTACGGAACGTATGCTCTACAAAACAAGTCACTGCTGGTGAAGAAAGGGGAAGCCTTCAACAGGAAGGTCCTAGGTAGATCTTCAATGGCTAGACTGGTCAAGATTAAGGGTAAAATGCACTACGTGTTCAATGCCTTCTTTTTCAAGATTGAGAAGGCAAGGATTAAAGAGGAGGAGGTAAAAAAAGCAGAGCCGGAGAAACACCCAATAACAAGAGTGAGGGAGTCGAGGAGAAGTTGGGAAATCGAATTGACGATGGAATGTATACTCGATGTTTTTGGTCTACAAAACAAGTCACTGCTGATAAAGAAATGGGAAGTCTTCCACACGAAGGAAAAGGCAAGGTGATATTAGATATGCATGGGAACTGCTGCCCTTGTTTATTCGTTCTCTTTTTTAAGACATGATGACATTCCCAATTAGAGCCACATTGACTAATGCGGTTAGGACATTTAAAGTAACTTAGCCTATCAATGAAAGAGAATAGTCAGTTTCTCATTTTTTTTTTTTTATTTTTCAATATAATCTCCTGAAACTTCAATACACTTAGTCGCTTTTCTAGCAATTCTATTCCTCGATTAAAACAGTTTTCCTCAAGGTCTTCAAAATAGTGGTTTACAACTGTAATTGCATCTTCATTAAAAAGTTCCTTATTCGGCCGGGCCAAACTTTTTATACCCTCCACCACGTGATGTGCATTCAAAAATTCTATAAGTCTATTGGGACCTTTATGTGGGGACTATGTCATGGTGTAGAAAGTAGGTTGTTCAAGCTCCGTAAAATAGGCCCTAGCTAGAAAATTTTAAAAGGACTTTTTAACATTTATTTTTTATTCATCAGTTATCTCTATCTCAAATATTTTGATCTCTATCGTGATTTCAACAGACAGGCGGTGGTCTCCGGTGAATATTTCGATTTCATGCAAACGGAATGACAAATTTAATATACACTTCACCTTATATGTATAATAATAGTTATTCCAAAGACGTGGATTTTATTTCACCAACAATTTTGGCAATCTGAAATCCTTCAATATGAAACTTGTTACCGATACAAGAACCTTCAAAAGCGGAAGAGTTTAACTCAGGACTGTATTATGGTTTACAATAGAAACGAGATTTTGGGTCGCAGGTTATCACGAGTCAAGCTTTTCTATCGGGTAATAATAATATTTCACATAAGATTATTAAATTTGTATTCGGAATTTTGGTCCGAATCTCCCTTTGCGAAAATTCCCAAGAGCAAAATATTATATTACTTACTTATTTTCTTTGGTAATTTGGGATTATTTTCAAACCATGACTGTAACTCATCAATAATTTTTTCCTGTTCCAAATCTCCTTTTACTTCCATTTTGTTATATTTTGTATTTATTTGTTTGTTTTTTACTTTCTATAAATAAATTCTGTCAACAAAAACACACAAAACAAGTTATTAGCTAAAAGGTTTTTAAGTAACTACCAACAGATTTATTTGAATGACAATTCGAATCATGATATTCCAAAATTTTTGGAATAATTCTCTTCGCATGGCTGCTCATTTTAATTTATCCCAAAATGTACTCACGGTTTTGATATTATATAATTATTAAAATATTGATCAGTTTTTGGAGATATTTTGATAATTGCAATATAGACATATGTATGTATAGATTAAAAATCAAACTTTGTTTATAAGAGAGGATCATGATTTTGCAAAGAACTCGGGTATTAGGTGGGAATGTATATTTATAAATACTTAAATTTATACTTTGGTATGCAATTGCAAAAATCTGCTATAAGAAAATTTAATGGTCGTCCGTATGTTGACATACTGGTCGTCTATATTCGATAGGAAGCCTACTGATCTTCTAAAAGAAGACATATAACTTTTCTATAAGACCTACTAGTCTGGTATTGGGTGATTACTGGTCTCCGGTTGGTCTTCAATAAGAAGACTCTGTACTCTTCAAGAAAACTCGGTGATCTTCTATCAAAAAAGTTCTGGTCTTCTATAAGAAGGCCTTTTGTTGTTCTAAGAGACGACATTTTGGTATTTTATGGGAAAACTTTTATATCGCTTGGACTTCTAAAAGAAGATTTTCGGTTCACTTATGGTCTTTTATGAAAAAAACTTTCAAGTTTTCTATAAGAATACCTTTTGCTCTTAAGGCGACCATATGGTCTTCTATGAAAATAACTTATTTTCTTGTATGGGAAGACCTTCTGTTGTTCTTTGTGAAGACAAGGAAGGCATTTATAAGAATATCTTCTAGTCGTCCATGACATTTTTTTTGAGAAGTTCTATATATATTTTGGTTTAATAATAGAATTGCGAATATTTATCATAAACAATATTCTCCAATGTGATTTATACACGTTTTCATGCGCTCAGGAAGACATATAACTTTTCTATAACAATTTTCTTTTCTCAAAACAATTTTCGACGAAATATTTACCTCGAAAAGAGCTCTATAAAATTCTATGAAAAAAAATCTTCTATGATGTCTGGAATAGCAAATAGGATGTATCGGTCCACTTTTTAGGGTAGTCCCCATTTAAAGTTTTTCAACCTAATCATCTGTAATTCATTGGTTAGGCAATCTTCATACTAAAAGTGATCAATATTGTTCCAATTTTTAGGGTAAGAGTTTTAACCAAATTGGTTTGAATTTTATATTTTGGATTTTTAATATTGACCTAATTTTCTGGGTAGCCAACACATTCGGTATTTTGAGAAGTTTCCTGTCAAAAATTAGCAACTTATCAATATAGCCCCATGTTTTGACATAACGCCAATACAATCATATAGTTCTATTGTCCGTATTCATGGGTTAAATGCGGTTAAACGCATTTCCCATGGTAGTGGCTATATTTTGTCATTCTTTTGTCAATTTTTGATATACCCCTCTGATAAATGTGACACCCCATTTCCGTTATTTTTAAGTTTTTAACCACAATTTCTCGTCGAAGTGGCTATAACATTTTTTTCAAAGCCGCAAACAAATGTTATATATAAATTTTTATATCCTCCACCATAATATGGAGGATATATTAAGTTTTTTTTTTTTCGTTTGTAACTAATCGAAATAGTCATCTCCGACCCTATAAGCGTAAAAATATGAGAATTTAAACATGTCCGTTCGTCTGTTGTAATCACACTATCTTCTGAAGGAATTGAGATAGAGTGCTGAAATTTTGCATAGAGTTGTCTTTTGTCTGCAGGCAGGCCAAGTTCGAAGATGGGTAAACGTTTATGCAAAACTCCCATATAAGGGTACCTCGTAATTTTTGGTATCTTGGGGTTCTTGAGTGCGCTTTTCAACCGAATTCTCTAAAATTTGGTACAAAGGTTCTTATTGGGTAATCAAACCAAAAATTATAAATATGGGCCCACTTTTTCCGGTAGGCCCGAATTTTCAGTATTTTGGGCTTCTTAAGCGCGTTTTTCAAATGAATTTGCCGAAATTTGGTAAATGCAGTTCTTATTGGGTACCAGAATTCTCTATTAAGAATTATAAATATAGGTCCACTTTACCCGGTAGCCTCCATATAAAGGTACTCCCAATTTTCCGTATTTGTTGGGGTTTTACCGTGTTTTTCAATCGAATTCGCTGTAATTTTGGAATATTGTAGTCGCATTTGGTAACAAATCTCTCTCCCAAAAATTATTTATATTCTCCCCCTTTTGGGGGCAGTCCCCAGATCAGTGTGAAATTCTATGACGATATAGCCATGTCCGTCTGTCAGTCCGTCTGTGTAATCACTCAAGCCTCTAAACGAATTGAGATAGATCGCCAAAATTTACCATAGAGTCGTCTTTTGTCTGCAGGCAGGTCAAGTTCGAAGATGGGCATTATCGGTTCAAGTTTAGGCACAGCTCACATATAAGGGTACCCCCCAATTTTCCGTATTTTGGGGTTCTTGAGCGCGTTTTTCAATCCGAATGCGTAATCAATATCGGACAACGTTTTAGGGTTTTCAGATTTCATGAAAAATACCGATTAAAAAATTTTCGAATAGCCGCACTCCACCATAGTATGGGGGATATTCTTTACACGAAATTCTAAGTTAATGAACCTATGGAGTTCAAAAACGATTTAGCCATTTGGTGTAATCATTCTACCTTCGAAGGATATGGAGATAAAATTCTAGAACGTCAGGTTCGAGAATAAAATAGATCGACCCGCAATTAGGCCTAGACCCTATATAAACATAACTACGATCGGTAATTCCAACAAGATGTAATCAATATTGGTCCTGCTTTAGGTGCAGGGACGTACTCATACAAATTTTTTTCTGCAATGACAATTGTCATATTGAACCAGCAGTTTCCACCCCACATTGGTGATGGCCTCATATAATTTTGCCCTTTAAATTGCAGTATTTTGGGGATTTTATATCCATTTTCCACCTAAAATGCGTCGTCAATATGTGTCCACTTTTTGAGGTTTTGCCATTTTATGACAAATCTCCAATCCGATTGTTGGTATCGGTATCAGTTTCATAAAAACGCTATTCAGACTGGCTTCAGCTCGTCTATAAAGACTCCATTCAGCTTCAGCTTATCTATAAAGACTTTCTTCAGCTCGTCTATAAAGACTTTCTTCAGCTCGTCTATAAAGACTCCCTTCGCTCGTCTATAAAGACTCCCTTCGCTCGTCTATAAAGACTCCCTTCGCTCGTCTATAAAGACTCCCTTCGCTCGTCTATAAAGACTCCCTTCGCTCGTCTATAAAGACTCCCTTCGCTCGTTTATAAAGACTCCCTTCGCTCGTCTATAAAGACTCCCTTCGCTCGTCTATAAAGACTCCCTTCGCTCGTCTATAAAGACACCCTTCGCTCGCCTATAAAGACTCCCTTCGATCGTCTATAAAGACTCCCTTCGATCGTCTATAAAGACTCCCTTCGCTCGTCTATAAAGACTCCCTTCGATCGTCTATAAAGACTCCCTTCGCTCGTCTATAAAGACTCCCTTCGCTCGTCTATAAAGACTCCCTTCGCTCGTCTATAAAGACTCCCTTCGCTCGTCTATAAAGACTCCCTTCGCTCGTCTATAAAGACTCCCTTCGCTCGTCTATAAAGACTCCCTTCGCTCGTCTATAAAGACTCCCTTCGCTCGTCTATAAAGACTCCCTTCGCTCGTCTATAAAGACTCCCTTCGCTCGTCTATAAAGACTCCCTTCGCTCGTCTATAAAGACTCCCTTCGCTCGTCTATAAAGACTCCCTTCGCTCGTCTATAAAGACTCCCTTCGCTCGTCTATAAAGACTCCCTTCGCTCGTCTATAAAGACTCCCTTCGCTCGTCTATAAAGACTCCCTTCGCTCGTCTATAAAGACTCCCTTCGCTCGTCTATAAAGACTCCCTTCGCTCGTCTATAAAGACTCCCATCGCTCGTCTATAAAGACTCCCTTCGCTCGTCTATAAAGACTCCCATCGCTCGTCTATAAAGACTCCCATCGCTCGTCTATAAAGACTCCCATCGCTCGTCTATAATGACTCCCTTCGCTCGTCTATAAAATCAATAGATATCTACCCTTAAAAAATCGTCTTGTCTTTTATAAGAGAACCTTTTGGTCTTCTATAAGAAGAACTTCCGAAATTTCTAAGGGCTAATTTAAAATTCGCTGTTAGTTTTCCATTTCATTTCTAGATATATTTATCAAAACCATATTAATATAAAACTAAAAAACATTTTAACTAGATAACATGCCGAATTGCATATGACAAATAATACACACTAAAATAGGATCTAATACATTAATCCTCATCCTCGTCAAGTTCCCAATATTGTGGATCCATAAGATAATCTCTGTAACAAGATTTAGATTATTATTAATTTTTGTGTCATTATTATTTTTAGTTTTAGAATCTTTTACCTCTTTTCTAAAATAGTTTCCAAAAATTTGGCTTTCAGATCTTCCAATTTACCTGCAGAGCCACCATATTCTTCCGGTAGCATCTCCTGGGGTATAAATTCATAGAGACTCTCTATGCCCGATGTGTGGAAGTGCATCTGTAATTTAGAAATAGAAATTCAGTCAAATATTTTATCCAACTCTGCACAGATGTTGGGGAAATTTGTGTATTCCACAATACCTATAGACATTTCCGACTTACCAATTCAAACACCCTTTTACTAACAAATGGCCTTATGAATGCCAATATTTTATTCATATACGACGGACAGTTGACCATATGGATGGCCTTAATTCGTACCGGATATGCCTCCTGTACAAATTTCAACATTGTTCGTAAAATACGCAATGACATGCGGCGCATATGAGCCATACTGTGACATGACATATCACTAATGTGAACATCACCGGCTGAGAGGACAGGGACACCATCGACCACTGCATCCGGTAAACTGAAACGGCAGTCGTTCAGCATTATGTAGGTTTTAGTGTCTTCGGCGTGATGCATCTGAGGAATAGGGAAAAATAAATGTCAAAATTAATATAGAGATAAAGTATTGAATGCTTACCAAATTAGCATCGGGATTATTTAAACGATGTACAACTATACGATAATTTTCCTTTGTGAGACCCGGTAGTGGCACAATATCTCTGAAACGAATATAAATTTGAATTATGAGAATAAAATTAAATTAAAATTCCGTATAAGATCCTTACGCTATGGCTATAGTGTTCTTCGTATCCTGATCTGTTGGATCCCGATTTGTAAATATATAGGCATTTGCCAGCCTCATTGTGTAGTTAGTTTCTAATAATTTTTTCGTCTTCTCTTCATCTTTGTGCATGCAATAGTAAAAGCGGGTCAGTAGAACACGATCTGTGAAAGAAAATATTTTATTTTTTAAAGTAGAATCCATTTGTGATTAATAACAGCAAGCTGAAAAAAATGTTCAAGAGACGAAAAGTGGTTGCTCCGATAAGTGGCCGATAATCCAAAGCTAAGTGCACCTAAACTTGCGAAATCGCAGAGAAATATCTGGAAAAGAAATGTAACCCAGAATGTAATGGTATGGCGCTGTGTGAGCGAATGGATGTCCAGAAGTGATTGAAACACTTCCTCAGTTCCCGGATCTGATCTATAGAGAACTCATAGAGTATTTTTTTGCATTAATTTCAAATTTTATTTAAAAAACCAAATAAAATCAGGTTAGGGTTACTTGAAATGAAATATAGGGAACATACCAAAAAGTATACCTATACCAACAATTGTACCAATTGTTGTACACCAAATACAAATTTCCTAAAATCGCAAAACCCCAAAACGTGGACCTATATTGACGACGCATGGTAGGGTGGAACATGTGTATAAAATCCTCACAATACTAGAATTTAGAGGGCAATGTTATATGGGACCATTACCAACATATACAGAATTTTATTTCAGGGGGGTTAGGTGGAAGCTGGTGTTTCGATATGTAAATTGTTATTGCATAAAAATATCGAAACGGGACCAATATTGATTATATATGAGGTGTTATGTCTAATAGAGGACTGATATAGCTCAATTTCGAACCTAACATTTTTGCACGAACACGTCCCCCATGTACAAACCCAAAACGCGGAACAAATCAGTTAACTATTTCAATATAAAAGGGGGTTATTTGGGGACTACCCCTGAAAAGGTGTGAATATTCATAATTTTTTGAAGGAAGATTTGTTATTATATTCGTCTACAATATGCCAAAATGCAGCGAATTCGGTTGAAAATTGTGACTAAACCCCTCAACATACCGAATGTTCCAAATAACAGCTAATTTGGTTAAAAACGCACTCCAACAACCCCAATATACCGAAAAATGGGCGGTACCGTCATATAGGGGCTAACAGGAAAAATATACCTATATTTATAATTGTACCAAATTTCAGCGAATTCGGTTGAAAAACGATCTTAGAACCCCAAAATACCGAAAATTGGTGGACACCCTTATATGAAGGTTATGTCTAAACGTAGGCCGATAATGCACATCTTCGAATTTGACCTGCCTGCAGACAAAAGACAGGGTGAAATAGGGTGCAAAATTTCAGCACCGTATCTTAATTCCTTCAGAAAATAGCGTGATTACAACAGACAAACGTACATGGCTAGATCGTCTTAGAATTTTACCCTGATCAAGAATATTATTGAGAATGGTTGGTGGTTGCTCCCATTGATTGCCCACTGGAAGTATTAACACTATGGTGAGGCTCGTTTTATCCTATGGATCTCTTGTCTGGTGGCACTCTGTTCACCAAAAGTCGACGTCCCGAAAAATAAACAAAGTGCAAAGAGCAGCCTCAATTCTGGTAACTAGCGCGGCTGCACTAAGCTGTTATGAACACAATGCTGAACAGAAGGCTCTATGTGAAATTGTGCCTATGCAATCAACGTCATTATCCTTAGTATAGACGACTGGAACTGTAGTAGACCTCTTCTGGGCGGTCTGGCTTTTTATACAGCATAGTAGAAAAAGGAACTGGAGCTGGTGTCTACTGTGAAATACTAAGTGTAGAGTACATTTACAGCTTAGAGTCTGTAGTGTAGAGTCTGTAGAGCTGAAATCTTCGCGATTTACAAAGCAGCAGATTTGATTTAAAGTCTGAATCCTTGAACCGGGGATTATAATTATTGATAGCCAAGCGGTTCTTAAAACCATGCAATCACGTAGCATCAAGTCTGAGAACGACCTTAAGAGCAGAATAGCTTTGAAAACACTACCTAACAGCTACCGAATATATCGAATATTTGAGAAGGTTTTTTGTTGAATAAATTCAGATTTAGTAAAGGTATTATTTTGAAATTTAGAACTGTAGTTTTGTTGTAAACTAGTTTTGTTTTAAACTATATTTCTAATGGGTCGATTACGGATAGCAACCATAGGTCCTTATTGCCTGGATGGCGCGCGGAGAGTCTCGGAGGAAAAGACCGAGTGCCTATGATCCCTGAACCGACGAGGCGAGAATGGCGCCCCCTCTCCTATATCCATTTAAAAAGGTCTGGGACACTACTTTCTTAAAGTGTCTCCCCTAATGCTGGGGTGTCATGCGACCTCGTGCCTATCAGCGTTCCACGGTTTGCAGTCAGGGTACCGACTGGCGCCTCAACAAGTGTTTCAGGCTTAGTTGCCAGTTGACTTGGCTAAAATAATCTCTCTTCCGCCCCTTTCTTCTCACTATTTTCCTCTCTATTCTTCCACTATCTTTTTTTTTCTTTTCTTTATAGGTACACCTATACATAAAGGATGATCACAATGAACATAGTTTCCGAGTTGACGGTTGTTACAACAACCGTACATCCCTAACCTAACCTAAATCTAAATTTATTAAACAAAACCTTCTCCTGTAAAATTTCAAATTTGAGGGTTACGTTTTTTTGGCGAAAATGGCTCGATATATTGGGAAATGAAAATGCAGACGGACAAGTAATTTACAGATCTAGCAATTGTTGACTCTATCAAGTCGCCCATTTGTCATTTTTTTTTTCGAAATATTGAGACGTTCTTCGAAGATAACTAATTCGCTGTTGAACCTAAGCAATGCCGAAATAAAAGTAATGACAGGAGTTATTACTGGTCATTGCTATATAAGGGCCTTTACCATCAAGTGGGACGATTATGTTGTGGGCACAAGATCTGCACTGTGAGGATGAGACGGTCGAGCATTTCCTATGCCGCTGTCCGGTTTTTGGTTGCAGGCGTTGTAGGCTAATGTGTGTTAACTTTCCGCCACGTCTAACCTTCTACTCTACTATGGAGTCTGTCTCAATTTACAATACCATCAGAAATCTATAGTGACTGGGGCAGCATATCTGAACATGTAGACCTTGTTTTATCTCAACTTCTGTTGTATCTGTTTCTGTTTCTCTTTTCTTTCCATCTATAGTATATTCTACTTTTCCTTGGAAGATTACAATGGACCGGAAGGCCTCCGAGTGACGCAGTCAGTGTCTGTGGTAGGGGACGTGATAGTTATTAATCAATAAGTAAATACTTTTTGATCAACAAATTATAATAATGTTTATTATTTATGAAACCTCGTACGTCTCCGATATTCCGCATGTACTTTTATGCATCTACATTTTATTTTCTACGCTCCACTGTAATTAGCGATAAAGTTGCATTGTTTTTAAAGTCATGGTGTTATTACTAATAATAAAATACAACGTCATTGCAATTGTTATGTTCAATATTTTATTTTCTGACAAATCATTGCCGGTATTTTGAAAAAAGAAAAAAAAAATTTTATGTGTTGTATTTGCAAAAGAAAAACGCAGTAGGAATGCAAAATAATAAAAAAATCAATTAAAATAATATTTATACAACTTTGATAAGGAAAAAAGTAACATACCAAATCGATAATTATAAATGTTCCTATGAATGTAAATATTTGCGAATAGATTTACATTAGGTGGACTTATTGACTCATAGAGAGACGTGTGAAGTGTGTATAAAACCACAATATTTCGACATGGAATGCATTTTGAATGGGGTTGGCGATAAGAAGTGCACTGCACGTGTAACCTCCGTAAGATGGATGAATGACTACTGATTATTAGAAAACCCTAAAATATAATTATCAGTATTTCTTACATAAAAAACCTTTATTTGCCGGTTATTGCTTTTGCATGAGATGCATTCAATTTAATTTAAAAATTCCCGCATAAAACTACTTGCCAATCATACCTCCACACGTTGCGATTTTATTGATTGAAGAATAGGATGATTCATTTTCATTGAAAATCCAAGAGCTCTACAATTCATTTTCACATGGAGGTTAATTTAAAAATAAATTGAAACTAACCGACACCGACATATTGTGTTTGTGTTTGAAAGAAATTTCTTCAAACATTTTTCTTTTCGTTCAAACTTAAATAAGTTGTAGCTCGTAAATCAATTGCTGTACTACTTTTAAATTAACGAATAAAAGCAAATTACGCACTGTTTACTAATATTTTTAACACCTTGCGTGGCAAAATAAATAATGATAACTTTTTAACGGTAATCACATTAAAATATTCCTCAAATATTTGAATTATCATGGATATTTGATCTATTCATTATAATAATTTATGAAAGTTCTTTGATTCAGCATGCTATTCAAAATTTAGTGCGAATCGAAAAATAAAGGGGCTTTGGTACTCCATTTACATGAAATCAGACGAAAAAATATATGGACTCTATTTCCAAGTCAGAACCGATGGTGAAATTTCAATAGGGATTGTCATCCAAATCGGATTATATATGTGACCTGCGTACTTTGTTTACAATTTAACATCAACAGACGGACGGATATGCATAAATCGACAATGAAAGTGATTCTATGCATATTCTGTATCACTGTGTGGTAAAGGGTATACAAATTATTAAAAACCTATTTCTGTATCACTGTGTGGTAAAGGGTATAAAAATTAATAAAAACCTAGTTTAGTCCGCCCGATCCGAATTTGTTATACCTCCACCAAAAAATATACCTTTAAAATACCTGAATTGTACGTCTCCTCAAATATGTTACGAATAATGGGGACTATATTGATAAAGTAGGAAGATTTGCTATCCAATTAAAATTCATACGACTAAAGTATAGCTAATTTAGCTAAAAATGTGCCCAAACTTCTTAAAATACCGAAATTCGGCGGTATCGTAAAAGTCGATCAATATTGATAATCTTTGATAGGAAGATGTGTCACCAAATAAAAACTCAAAGTACCAAATTGCAGTCAATTCGGTTTAAAAACGTGTCAAATGTCCCAAAAATTCCG